GTTCAGCACTTGGAGCTTTTTTCTCTCTGGGGATGATAACAGGGTTAACCAGTAACTAGTTTCATAAAGCAAAGTACTGTTTGTTAGAACAAGCGTTACAGGAAAAAGCAGACAATAAAACAATAAACAGTTTACATTTATTTCCAGTTTACCAGACAGTTAGCCATCCTCTGCATGTAGACTCTGACAGGCTTAAAGTTCTTCATACTCTCCCCAGGTCCTATCCCCTTTGGTCACAATTTCACATCAGTTTTTGAACTGACTGTGATCAGCCTTTTTCCTGGGTCCAGGTGGTCATTTTTTATTCAGTTTCAGGCATTTTGTCTCTCAGGCTTCTTGAACCAGGTCAAACCAGCATATGCTGTTTCTCCCCATGATGAAACTTCAAAAGGCTGGATACATACATTGTTTCAGCACTAGGAATTTATATTAATCACTCTCAATTACTTGAGTTCCTGAAGAAAGGTCACCTATTGAACCAGGAATACAATCATTAGCTAGTCTACAAAGATACTAAGATTCTGATATAACATTTATAAAGGTAGAGCAAGCTGGTTAGCTGTCTTAGTCTGAGGTAGGCAGAAGGTAGGGCAGTGTGGCACCTTAGAGTGCCACAAGCACAGAGTCTGCTCCGACGTGCTGGAATTCCAGTGTGTTGGAGCAGACTTAATTAATCAAGTCTGCTGAAGTGTGGCAATTGCTGTGCTCCAGCAGCCTCCTGCGTCTTTTGTATCAGTGTCCCCGCGATTAAAAACAAGCTTTAGTCCAAACACCCCCACCACCATTTTTAAGCTCAAGGGGGCATGTGTAGATGAAATGGGGGCCCTAAATTGAAGTGGTGGGTTTTTAAAAACACTGCTTCAATTTAGGGCCCTTTAATCCCCCCGTGTTGTGCACACACCTGAACCTGTTTACTCCCCCGGTGTTGCCCACACCCCTGACTTTCCCTGCCTCTCCAGTGGCGGAGAGGGGAGAGCAAGCTGCCAGCAGGCGGAGCAGTCCCTGGGCTGCGGGGGTTCAGCTGGTGCTTCCCTTTGTGGCAGCGGCAGCGTCCCCCACCCCAGGCGGCACCTGCCCGCAGGCACCTGGCTCAGGCTGTCCCAGGGTGCACCACAGCCGTGGAGGGAAGCACCAGGCCTCCACGGAACTCAGGCAGGCAGGCAGGCTCCAGGGGGAAAAAAAAGATCAGGTTCGCCACTTTTCTTGGGTGGAGCCTGCCTTCCCTGGCTGCTGCCAGACTGCCTGCATGGGCTTCCTGCAGAGCCCTTGAGCTGCACAGAGCCTGGTGCTTTGCTCTGCAGCTGTAGGGCAGCAAACTAAAACTCCTTAGAGGAGTTAGTTTGCTGCACCCCAAGTCATTTAAGGTGCATTACACCACCGAATTTCCTACAGCAGCTGGAATTATTGCACAATATGCCACCAATGCATGCAAACACCAACACCATTAAAGCAGTGCAAAAGCATTTAACCCACTTTAAAGTGTTGTGCAAACATGTCCCTCATTTTGTCTACACACAGCCATGGACACTAATACAGGAGATGTGGTGGTGCTTTAATTACAGCAGCTCTCACAGCTACTCTAAAAAGTCCCTCACCCGGGAAACGCATGTAAAAGTGCCCTTATAGACTTTCTCAGAGATGTATGAATTTTCATAGGCTACAGCCTACTTTGCCAGATGCTATTAAGGTGTTAGAAGAATTGCTTGACTATTCCCCGTTTCTGAAGCATAGGCATAGGTAGGGGAGCATGGGGAGGCATGTGTCCCCCTGACAGGGCCGTCCCCACTGCTGACACCTCCGGTAGCTTCTGCGGGTGCTTGCCAGCCCTGTCCCCGATGCCAGCAGTGGCTTCTGCGGGTGCTTACCAGCCCCGTCCCTGCCACCAACACCACTGGCAGCTTCTGTGGGTGCTCACCAGCCCTTGTCTGCCGCCACCATCACTGCCAGCTTCTGCAGGTGCCCTCCCCCCAGACTCAGGAGGCACCAGCTGCCCATGTTTCTGAAGCATTGCTTCTAACACAAGGAGAAATTTAGAATTTAAAGGTCTGATGTTAGGAACAGCTAAGTGTCTATTTAGTTCATTGTGAATTGCAGATGCTCTGTAGGGTTCTGATTCAAGGCCCATCAAAATCATTGGAAGGGCTCCCATCAATTTCAACAGGTTGAGCTTCAGCCCACTTACAATTAGGTCCACTTAGGTTTTAACCACAGTTCTTCAAAGGGTGCTTCAGTGATGCTTATGAATGTACTGAGTGCTTCATAACTATTAATAAATTTAATATCATCACACCACAATTCTTCAAAGGGTGCCACAGTTCTTCAAAGGTTTGTATTTATATTTACTTGAAGGTAGGCTGTTCAGTTTTGGTTTCAGCTTACCTATTCTAGAAGCCCCAAGTCAGTCACGGTAATTTTTGCAGTATACATAAGGCTTAAAACAGCAAATGCAAAATAATATGCAAAACCTATCGTCAGGAATAAGAGTCATTCCATTAAGTACATGTACTCTGGATCAAGCCAGTAAGTTCTTTAGAGATGCATGCCAGTCTATACACCATTTTTTGGGGGGGAAACCCTAAAATGTACTGACAAGGAAGGAAACCAAGTTAGCAATAAGACAATCCTGTTACAGGGGGAAAAAAAGGCATTGGAGAAAGGTTTTCACAAACTTGCATATTGCATAGTTGTTTCAACTTGTGTTCAGAGTATGTATAAATACTGTAAAAGTTCCATTAACCAGCACCTTACAAGTCGGCATGTGTTATTAACTGGCATGCCGGCTTGTAAGGTAAAGTGAAACCGGAAGTGCCCATCGTGGCACTTCCGGTTTCTTTGAGCCCCCAGGCAAAGCAGCCTGCGCTGCTAAGCCCCCACGGCCTGGGGCATAGCAGGCTGCACGTGTCCTGCCTCCCTGTCTCTCAGGGCCTGCGGGGCCTATGGAAGGGTTGGCGATGCGGCAGGAGGTGCGGCGATGCCGTGGAAGGGGCAGTGACACCCTGGACGCAGTGGGAGAAGTGGCAGCCTGAATAGGCAAAGACGCCTGTTCGGGCCTCTCAATTAACCAGCATATTTTGTTATCCGGCACCCCCCATTCCCCATGGGTGCCAGATAACAAAGCTTTTACTACTATCAAATAAGAATCCTCCACTCTTACACTATTTACATTCATGTTGAACATGTATAAGTGACTATGTGAGAAACGTCAGGGAGAAGAATAAGACCAGTAAGCTATATCTAAATCATTATTGCACACAAGTAAGTACATTATATTACCTTTGCACAGCCCCATAGTAGCCCCACTATAGGAACTGAGAAGTTCTAAAGGAAGGCCGGATGTTCAAAGTGGGAGAAACAGAAAACAAACTTAAACTCCAAGTAGATTCAGAAAGAAAAAAACTAGATGAGGAAGGCAAAACAGGGAGACAACTATAGAAGGAAGTCACAGATGAACAAATGAAACAAAAAAAGAAAGTGACCAAGGGAAGGAGGGAGAAGGAAGCAACAGGAAGAGTTGGTCTAGAATCATAGGGAAGTAGGACTAGAAGGAACCACAGAAGGTCATCTACTCCATCCCCCTGCTCAAGGCAAGATCATCCCTGACTAAACCATCCCAGCCAAGTGTCTATCTAACCTGCTCTTGAAAAACTTCCAAGAATAGAGATTCCACAGTTTCCCTCAGTCAGTGGCCTGTTCCAATATCTGATCATCATAGTCAGAAAGTTCCTCCTAATCTCCAACCTAAATTTCCCCTGGTGTGGCTTGAGTCCATTGCTCCTAGTCCTGTCCCCGTCAGTCGCAGAAAAAGCCCATCTTCATCCTCTCTGTAATCACCCTTCAGGGATTTGAGAGTGTTATCAAATTCCTCCTCCATCTTCTTTTCTCCAGATTAAATGACTCTAGTTCTTTTAGCCTTTTCTCGTAAATCTTGCTTCCTGAGCCTCTAATCATTTGCTGATTGTTGCTCTGTGCTGGACTCTTTCCACTATATCCATGTCCTTCTTGAAGGGTGGGTCCCAAAAGTAGACGCAGTACTCCAGATGAGGCTTGAATAGACTAGAAGAATCACTTCCCTTAATTTGCAAGAGACACTTTTATTAATACAACTCAGTATGCTGTTGGCTATTTTTGCAACAATAGCACACTGTTGGCTCGTATTTAGCATATGGTCTACTGTAACCCCCCAGGTCTTTCTTTGCAGGGCTTTGCACTTGTTCTCGTTGAATATCATCTAATTGATTGTGGACCATTTCTCCAGTCTATCCAAATCATTCTGGATCCTAGTGCAGAGAATATTGGGTTGAATGAAGTATGAACCACTTCTCCCAGGCCAGGAGTGGTTGGGAGTTGCTTCAAAGGCTGTAATCTGGTAGTGCTTTGCTTCATTGATTTATGGGAGCAACATAAAGGAGACTCTGAAGAGTGGTACACCCATCCCCTAACATGGTGGTGGGCAACCTGTTTGGCAGATATGCCATAAATTAAGCCCCACACCTTTGCTGGTGCCACTCCAATCCCTTTCCCTTGCCTGACCTGCTGCTCTGTCCTGTAGTCTCTACCTGGTTGGCTGCTTTGCTTTTCTCTGTGTACTATCTGTGGCTGTACTGCATGTCCTCTCTTCAATCTGCTACATGCCACATGTAGAGGCTGCCCATGGCACCTGTGCTACACCACTGCCCTAGCAAGTGTGGGGAGGAGGGGGAAGGATGATAGGGAGATTGTTGCTGTCTGGGGCCTTTTGAACAGAGGAAGAAAGTAAAAGGGAAAATATTTTCTCTCATCTTCCTGTTCCCCAAAAGAGGGTTTTCAAACCAAGATTAATATAGTAGAGAGGAAGACAATTGAAGAAATTGTTTCCCCCCAAAGTTTGTGGGGAATGGGGAAGCTCAAAAGTGAATTCCTTCATTTCAGGGTGGAGACTGCATTTTAGTCTTTCTTTTGGTTGGTACTTAAATTTAAAATAAAATTATCTTATTGAATCTTTTCTTTCCTTTTTTTCAGAGGCTGCAATAGCAGATATTCAGAAAAAGATTACAGAAGCTTTTGAAGTGTTTGACCACGAAAGTAATAAAACTGTGGATGTCAGGTTTGGAAATCTTTTCACATAGAAATATTATAGAGACAAGGCCCTAAATTCAAAATCTGCTTTTGTGAGAAATTAATCCTTCTGATCCTGGCTGGGCAAGAAGACTAGAGCAAGGTGCTGAAGGGATGGGGGGAAACTTTAACTGTCCAAAGAGACTAAGGCAAGGAGCCTGAGGTGGGCTCAGTTGAATGAGAAGCCCAGCTATAGGAGACTGAAAGTTTAATTACATAAGGAAGTTAGTGTGTAGTAATCTAGGGTGTCAGTTTGCAAAGTACTAGCTGCTCGGAATTTGCTCTTGGGGTAAATAATCCTAGAAATTGAAGTGATTTACTTGCAGAAAGACATTCTGTGCAAGGTAATTAGTGTGGAGTTGCTAGTATACTGTTAATTATTGTACTTACTTGGATCTAAGATGAGGTTTTTTTTCCCCCCCATTCAGCATGGGGAGGACCCCCTTATCCTAGATTTGAGTATAGGCTAGGCAAGCAGCTGCTGTGGCTTTGAATGTGGCCAAGTTGGGTCATGTAGCAGGTTGGGGGAGCAGGGGGCATGCAGGGGAAGTGACGCATGGTGTGGGGGGAGCAGAGGGAAGGTGGTGTGCAGTTCAGGGGAAGAGGTGAGGTGTGTAGTGCAGAGGGGAGCATGGGGAAGGGGCGCACAGTGTGGGAGGTGGGGGGAGCACAGGGAAAAGAGCAGCAGGGGAAGTGACCTGTGGAGCGAGAGGGACTGCAGGAAAAGGGCGTGGGGGAAGGGTAAAGGTGAAGGGGAGCATGTAGTAAGTAGAGCTCAAGGAAGGGATGTGGGGAAGGGGACAGGCAGTGTAGCGGGGCTCATGGAGGAAAAGGTGGTGAACATGGGGAAGGATGTGCAGAGTGAAGGACAAAGGACATGTGGAGCACAAGGAAAGTGAATGGGGGAAGGGGAGTGCAGGAGGGAAGGGAGCGTAGGGAAGGGGTGCATAGTGCAGGGAGGAAAAGAGATGCACAGAGCAGAGTGAAATGCAGGGAAGAGGTGCATGGAGTAGTGGGGGTAGCTGCTCTGGCTCTGGACCTGACCCTAGCTGTGGCTGGAGCCAGAGCCACCACTACTGCCTGGCCTGGCCAAGTGCTCCATACCCCCCAGCAGAGAGAGAGAGAAAAGTTGCAAATGTGAAGGGGGGGGGGGGATCAGCAAGCAAGGGGGCAGGCACAAGGGGTACACATAGCAAGTGGGAGACTAGGGGTATGGGGCAGGCTGCCTGCCCTCCAGCTGCTGCTTTCTCTGCTATTGCTTTCCCTGTGGCACTGATGGGAGAGAAGAATTTGACCCTCTAATAACTAGATTCTAGATGTGGAAAATTAAAACAAATGTATAATTTTCCATGTTTAGAATCTAATAATTGGGGGGGTCATCTTAAATTCAGGGTCGTCTTGGATTTGGGTGAATATGTTATTATCCTAATTTGTGACACTAATTGCCTTGTTTAGACAAACCTTGAAATTGGACAAGGAGCTTGGGTAGGGGGAAAGAATGGGACTGAGACAGATTAAGACTTGGGTAGAAGACAGGAAGATAGTTTATCGCCATGAGAGTTCATTCCCTTCCTAATCCTGGAACGGAACCCAGGATTCCTTTCTACATTCCTTTGTGGCTAGCAAATATCTGTGAAACTCACTGATGCCTCCTCCTACTTGTGTTCATCCACATGGATGATGATAGGCTCCTATGACTACTTGTCCGTTTACTCCATGAGCTTCATAGAGAGAGGTTCTAAAGATTCCAAGTATCCTGATAATCCATTTAGGTCAGTACAAAGCCACATGATGGCATCTCTTAGGTTTTGGTTTGTTTTTAACCTAGAAGATTATACACATACATATATACAAACCCGCTCAAGGTTACAAACCACTGCTTCAAAAGTTAGGAAGTGACAGTTTACATTTCCTTTGCAACCTTAATTCAATCCACTTGTGAGTATACATTAGGCTTCAGTCTTTGGTGGCATGATTATATGCTTCTGATTATATGTTTTTTTCTACAGGATCTCTTCCTCATTCAGTGCATAAAATAGACCTGCACAGAGGTGAATGAGAGTTTTAGGTTAGTGGTTTCAACCTGTGGTCCACGGACTCCTGGGGGTCTGTAGACTATGTCTAAGGTGACAACAGATGACTATGATAAATAAAAAGTATGTGAATACCTACACTTACAATTCCAAGGGGTCCACACCTCCATTTGAAAAAAACTGAGGGGGTCTGCAAATGAAAAAGGCTTGAAAACCACTGTTTTAGGTAGAACACCTCTTTCATTTTTAGCAGAATATGGATAATACCTCAATTTATAGTGATGATATTACATTTATTAATAGTTATGAAACACTCAGTACATTCATAAGCATCATAGAGAAGCTCATAAAGACATTAAGAATTCTGTATTTTGAACACATCTTGAGGGGTATGAAGCTACATGTTGAATAGTGAGGATAATATAAATATTGAACTGCCCCTCATGTAACAAGAACTGTTCATCCTTGTACTGAATGAGACTAGGGTCCTATGGCAAAAGTTGTATGTGGTCTTGTAATTAAAAACTGTATTGTAAAGAATGCAGACAAGGCTGTCCAGTTAAAAATGCACTGGCAATATTAAATAGTGCAATTTCTAACTTTTGAGTACTTGGTTTTGTAACCTTACCGTTCTTTTGACATGTTATTTGTATGTATCAGAAGACTGTGTTTCAATGAAGTGATTTCTGAGGTAATTTTAAGCTATTGCCATAAAATTTAATTTTACTAACGTGTTCAGTATTCCTTTCATATTTGTACTAGCATGGATGATGCACTGCATGCTTGCAACTTTCATTGGTTCAGTTGACACTCGTTCTCCAGTAGAAATACAGCCAGTCATTACTGAGAACCAGTAAAATTATGAAATCATAAGAGATGGGAGACTGAAAGACAATCATTGAAGGGGTGACAGATTTGTGTTCAGACTATTTAAAAGGATACATTTTATCTATTGTTGTTTGATGGTGAGAGAGAATATTTCTTTTGAAAGATTAGTCACCCCCAACTCTTGAAGTAGGGGATAACAGCTTTCAGTACACGTCTCTGAGACCTGCCCCTACTTAGTACTTCAGCTAACACAAAGAATAACCAGACTTGATGTTCCAGTAGTTACAAAATAAAGCTAAAGAGAAAAAATCCTTTAAATATGTTCCAACCTTCTTTTATGCATCATAAAAAAGGAGTAAGAAAAGGGCACAGTTCTATCTTTAAAAAAATATGCAGATCACCTAAAAATAACTCATACATCCAGTAATGTGTTTAATGCTTTATTTTGAAAGAAGGGACCCAGTTCTCAAACTGTTTGGCACATGCTTATTTTTAAGCTTGTAAATCGTTCCATTGGTTTAACATACCAGATTCTTTAGCACATTCATAAATATGCAATAAGAAGACAGAAAACTGGAGGTAGTTTGGGAGTATTTTGCCAGAAATGCACCTATTTTTATTGGAAAAAAATGTCATATTTTCCCATTTCTTTTTGTCTTTGGTCTACAGCCAGAAAATAAGCTATGAAACTGAGCCATCTCTGCATCTTGCTTGCTATGTCTCTGTTGTTGAATTTTGTAAATATTCTTATGCTCTTCTAAATCAGTTCTCCAATGAGTGATTGTCCACATACAAATTCCGCTATTGCCATGTGTCTGCCCTGTGTACTCAAGCATGGAGTCTTTGGGCTGGTAGTCAGTATGTTGTACAATACATGTGCTCTGATATGTCCTTATACTCTGTCAAGGGCAGGATGTACCAACTGTACTTCAGAGCCTTTCAACCATATCCTGGCTCAGAACTGAGCAGCTTGCTGTTGGTTATCTGAAACTACTAGCAAACAAATGTTTTTTATTCTCTAATGTAGTGTGATGACCTGTTGTACATTTTTATGGTAGCCTTAGTTCTGGAACCAGAATGACTTCAGGGGCTGTGTGATTCAAGTGTTGCCCCTCAAGCAAACAGGCAATACACGAAGTGATAGATACATGAAGTGCTTCTGTTGTGTCCAAAATAACCAAACCTGGCAAAATTTTCTCATTTGGAAAGGTACAAATATAGAGGAAGGATAGTTCTGACATGTGTCATCCCACAAAATGATCCTCAAAAATGAGAACATCTTCCTCCCCACACCATCTTCACCCGACTTCATGACTCTCAGTGGTTTCCTCTGAAGTTTATTCCCACTATGATGGTTATGATTTAGGACTGAAGCAACATCCAGATGCAAGCAATATCACCTAAGGCTTCCTTATCAACCAAGAATTTGGCTATGTCAACCTCTGCCTTTGTGGCACCATCATCACCAGGAATTCTTCTGGCTTTGCTCATCATGGCACCACAAGCTGCAGTATTGTTTTTAGTACTGTGGTGTGAGCTGGTTTCAGTACCCTGGAAGTCCAGCTTGCAACAGCCTGAGGTACTGGCAGACTTGCTCATACTACAGCAGCCTGAATTGCTACTACCGTCCACTTCTAGCTTCTTAGGGTATGTACAGAAGTGCAGGAAGTCACTTGCAATCACTCTGTAACTTTTGCGCTTTACACAAAATGCTAAAAGTTACAGTATGATCAAACATAAAAGATATTTGGTGTTTGGTGTGTGTTCACAAGGAGGGATGCTCGGAGCCTTCCTGCACTGGCCAAGGCCAGGAGGAAGGGGGTGATATTGCATGCCTCCCAGCGTGATCTGAGCGCTGCTGAAGATTGCCAAAAGCAGCCTGGGGCAGCTGTGTGTCTCACCCCTGGGCTGTCAGTGACAGCCTCTCAAACTAGTCCTGCCTTCCCCCTTCAGCCAGCTGAGAGCCACAGCTTGGCTGGGGTGGGGAAAAGAGAAGACAGTTTCTCTCTCCACAGTGCCGCAGGACCGGGGGAGCTGGCAGTCAGCCTAGGCATGCTGTGGTGGGAAGGGCTTTATCTCCCCAAAGCACACCTGGGACCAGGGATGCCAGAAATCAGCTCAGGTGTGCTACGGCAGGGGGGGCTCTGTCTCCCTGAAGTGCAGCTGGGACCAGGGGGGCTGGCAGCCAGCCTGGGTGCACTGCGGGGAAGGGGGTTCTTTCTCCCCAAAGTGCACCCAGGACTGAGAGAGCAAGC